GCGCCAGAGGGACGCGCAGGCCGAGGGAGCGCAGCCGGCGAGCAGCGCAGCGCGGCCGCCCGGGCCTCTTATAGCCGCCGTCACGTGGCTGCCGCGCCCGGGCCTGGGCCTGCCCCGCGGGCCCTTCCCGTGTCCCTGAGCCTAGAGCTGCCGGGGACCTCGGGTGGACAGTGGCATCTAACTCCAAAGAAGCCGAGGGTCGCACCCAGATCACTGTAGTTATAACTCGCCTGAGCTGCTTGAATTGAACATAAACTTTAACTCCACTTTTTCACCTGGAATTTCACATCAGCCTCTGGAATCATTCCTGTGTGCTCACAGTGGTTTTGTAGACTTAACCGAAAGGTACAATGAATAGCTGGTAAGAATTGTTTAGATTCTCGGAGCCATCTGTATCAATTGGATATTGAAGTGCTTCGTTTAATCCTCTGTTGGGAAAATATGGGAAAAAACGGTCAGGGTCCCTCGGATGTTCGGAGTCTTGCCGAGCAGCTGAGGTGGGTGTGCGCCTGCGCACGGGTGTCCCTTGTTATTGTCTGGTGATTGCGCATGGGCATCTGGGTTTTTTTTTTTTTGGACCAGGGACTTGAGTATAAAGGACTCCGGGTGCAGATGCGTGAAGTTTCTAGAGGACGCTCCGAGAAGCCATGTTAGGTCGCAGGTCCTATCTCTGAGTAAGGCTTATAATTTCTTCACCCCCGGCTCCCCGGACTTTTTCCTATTACCTAGCTCGTAGGCCTGCCTGTGGAGGGTTTCTGACCCAGTCTGGACAACGAGCTCAGAGGGGTCTTTGAGCCCAAGTACTAGCTCTCCACCCTTGTACCAACTCAGTGAGGTAGGTGTTCTATTACTTTTCTGTTCTCATTTAACGTAGGATTTGAACCTTGGCAGTTTGGTTACAGAATGAACTCTTTCACCCAGATAGCCTTGGTGCCTTTGACACACTGATGCTCCAAAAAGGCTAGTAAATGATCGTAACTCTAGTTAGGTAATACAGTTCTGGTTGATCTATTTCACAAATCTGGAAATGGTCAATTTGTCGTTTTTCTAGGAAGTTGAGAAATAGTTCTCTAACGTGATCACACTCTTTGCTGCTCCCCATCCCTCCCACCTAGCCAAACCACAGCAAAAGCCTCAGGTAGCACAGTGCTCTGCAAACAATAGTTGCTCAGAAAATGCTGAATGAATACTACAGAGCTATTTGGAAACCAGTCAGGAAGTTGACAACGTCATTGACAACATAACTTCAAAACATGAAATGGATGCTTAAGAATAATTGATTTATTGGCAAAGATAGTACTGCTGTTTCCTCGTGTGTGGGCCTGGACCTCCTACATCAGAATCACTTAGGGGCACTTGTTAGTACCCAGTGGCAACCTTTCCCACAATCAACCAATTAAAAAAAAAAAAGTCGTTTTGTATTAAAAAGTAACAACTACTAAGCTGGGGCTGCTAGAGCTTAGGGGAAGAGGAGGAGAGACCTAGTAGTGCAGGAAGGCAGGAGAAACCACGATGAGACAAAGAAAGGACCGCTCCGACAGTTTTGAACCCTGACCACTTGCATAACTTCGTATAGCATACATTATAGCCGCGCTTCCCAAGCGGCGCACTTATCCAGTGCGCCACCGGGCCGGCCCTTGAGCTGGAATCTTAAGGATAGAACCTGAGAATTAACATTTTAACTATCACCCTCCAGGAACCTCTCTTGAGTCCTTCCAGGTTCCACCCCCACCATGATCTGGAGACCACCCATCCAACCTGAGACGACCTCCCAGTTAGTTGGCATTGTACACTTCCTTTGCAGGAAATGGAGATGTGGGGTTGAAGGGGCAATGGATGGGTTTCCACTTCTTCACACCCTGTAGGCATAAGAGAGTTGGAGCGCTTTAAGTATAAAGGCTATACTCGAATTGTGCATAAGTGGGGAGAGGAAAAACAGAGAGAGGTGTTTTTGGGTCTGAATTGCTCTTTTCCAGACTGATAGGTAGACCTGGAAAAGTGAGGTCTCCATCTTTCACCCAGGAGCCCTTCTGCCATAAGTGACCTTTAACCACCTGCCGCTCACAGCCTAAGTGTCTCAGGCTGGACTTCCCCAGGGACATGGTGCTGAGCAGAAAGGGCAAAGCCAGTAGGAAGAACTGGGGACAACAGGAAAAGCGGGAAAGCTTCCCTTAGGACCAAGCTCCTCTGTACTCCTCCTCCCAGGGTATTTAAGTAAAAGGAGTCACCACAGTTCTTCTTTCCTGAGTTTCACGTGTATTTACATAAACAGAAAGTTTAAGGCTTTTACCACTTTCAATACAGTGGGGATATTTTGAGGTTGCTACAGTCCGCTCTTACCGGTCTTAACCGAGATTACCAACAATGACCCAGTGCCTAATTTTCTTGAGGCAGCTCTGCATTGAGCTTCAGTTGGGTGTGTGAGCAAGGCCTCCCAAACTTTAGTGTGCACAGGAATGCCTGGGGAGCTTGTTAAAATTAGCTCATTTTGACTCAGTAGTTTGGTGTGGGTCTCCTAGGTGGTGCCCAGGCTGTGGGCCAACTTTAAATAGTGAAGTGGTTGGACATTTCGGATTGTAAGGTGTTGGAGGTAATGGAGGCAAATGTTTGAAACTTTTCTTGTGAAATTTGAACTAGCAGAATTACTGAATCCTAAAAGAAAATTAGTTAAAAAATAAAAGTTGCACTCTACATGAGTATGCATAACTATTAACCACTCAAAGCTATGTTAAATGGGTGTATATTCAGCATGGCTGGTCCAAAATTCATTTTTAATTGGCTTTGGAATGTGTTATGTAATTTTTTGGCAGAATACCTAACTTCCTAATTATGTTTTGTTTAAGATAATGCTGAAATCAGTTTGCATTCCCTTGAGCACACACACTAATTGATGGTGGGGGCAACTGACCTGGAATTATATTTCAGAGCAGAGGGCAACCTACTAGCCTGAGATTCAGAC